TATTATATTATAAATTCATTTCCAACAGAAGGAATGTGTGAATAAAAAACATTGTGATTTCCTGGGATTTTTAATATGCAAAACACTGACCCAATTATGATTTGCATACACACGTGTTCTAACAGACAAACTGTGAAATTGTAAGTATGCATATGTAACTGAAATAAAGTGAGGAATCTGGATGTAGAGGGTCTTGTTTTCTTATCAGTAAATCATTGGCAGGAACCTGTAGCGTGTACATATACCAATACCATTTTGTAAAATCATTGATGTATATTCATGCTATGTTATTGACCTAGATGAACCCTCCTTCAGCCACTTGTAGCCGAAGTACACCATTACCACAACCCCAGCGGCACCAAGGCCAATTTTGACATATGGCAGAGATCCGTATATTACTTTTTCCTAAAAACAAAACAATAAATGAAAAAAAAATCAATACTGTACAACAAAAGTATCATAGTATAAAATGAAAAATTTTGTTTATATTTCAAAAGATCATGTATTATTTTTCCCCCTCATAGAGCCTGTGTAATAGTTGCATAATAGGAACATATGGTTTTCTCAAAACAAGATCAGTATCATTGTATTTTATTAATCGCTAATACCAGATTCTGTCGTAAATTTGCCATAAGCCATTAAACAGGAGCTCGGGTGAAAAAAAAAAGTGGGACCAAGAAATCGCGAAAGGGCGAATTTTCTGCAGTTTTTTACAGTGTTATTTTAAGTTTCACCATAGTTATTGACGCCTATTCAAGAGTAAGATGTTTATTGCGACTAGCGTGAATGGGTAAGCTTTGTTTGGACAGTGAGCTGTTATCGCTGTAAACAATGTTAAATTATTCGTCAAATGCTCAGTTTATCTTTTGAAAACAACTAATTTTTTTATTCAAAAACAAATCATGCAGCTTTCCCATCAAAATCCTAGCCAAAAGATCGTACAAAAACATCGGCAAATCCCTTCCGTACTGCGTTCAATAATATTAACATATTTAAATGAGCTATGGTAATTTGAACACGTTGGCATCATCCATCGTTTTCATGATTGGGTCAAAACATGGCTGATATTCATTTCTACAGCATCGAGCATTGAAAATGCGATCGAAATCATTCGTTTACGATGAAATAAGTTGAAATTTATTTGCATTTCATAACAATTCAATGAATTTATTTTTTGCACATTATTATAATCATTACTAGGTAATAATAAACAATTGTGAAACATAGCATGACCGGATTGCGCTACTGCGATCATTTGCTACTAAGCAATGCAGTTGTGCTCGTTTTTATTTGAATTTTCTTTTAGAATATACTTTCGTTACTAATAAAATGAAAAAAAAAAATAATTGTATTTGGCGCACAAGGTTTATGAATGTGAATTTTTTGGAGAAAGATGCGCGATCTACTTTTTAATCCAGCAAAAAAAAAAATGTATAAAATTTTAGATTAGCTTCTGCAGCAGTTTCTTTCATTTTTGGTAGTCCAACTGCCGGCATTGAAAATCGGCGTAGGTGGTTTTTTCAATGAAAATATAAGCCCCCCCCCCCAATATTTAATGATCATTTTTGGAAATTTTGAACCCCAAATAAGTGCCCACCAGTCGTGTAACCGCCCAGGGCAATTTTCCCGATGGCCGAATTTACGACAGAATCCGGTATATAGTTTATATTAGTATACTCTTCAATATTGTTGTTGCTTCAAAACGACACTTTCATCAGCACAGTACGCATGCACATTCAATAGTTCTAATATTGTATGTTCCTCAGTTCAAATGCAATATACCTCAGATGAAAATTATTTTTAAAAAGCTATGACTCATTCCCACACATAACTTTGCAGCTCTCTCAAATCTGATTTAACCTTTACCCTAGTCAGCCCTATGTACTTTTACATTGACTTGACCAAATAAGGGTTTTATACAAGTTTAAGTTCTTGTAAGCATCTCAAATGCACATGCGTTACCATGACAGTGTCCCTTTAACTGCACAATATTAAATTTTAGATATTTACACTTCAGCATCTAAAGAATGCCTTGCATGTATGTCACACACACACACACATATATGATAAATATAAATACTGTTGACAAACTGATTTTTCTTTGGATAAGTTCACACCTAAGACTCTACTGACTGCTCTAATATTATATAGTTCATAGGAGTTACTAATAAGTATGCTCGACTTACCCAACCACCCTGATCTCTCACCCACTGACAGACTCTATCACTGATATATCGCAGTGACCACATCAGTACTCGGTGAAAATAATCCATCATGTTTTGTCGAAGGGTAAGAATAGCGAGATCACTGCAGAAGAAAAACAACACCACGATTCTCTCTCGAGTGATTCCATCACAGAAGAGCGTGGATAACAAATCTTGGAACTGATCGTAGGTGAACTCACTGGAGAAAGTGCTAGAAACCTGAAAAAAGAAAGAGTGAGGATGGTTAATAGAATATACAACCAAGGAAATAAGATTAACAAGGGCAAGTCCCTTTTACAGTATACATAAAACATTTAAGTTCACATGTAAGAATTAATTATGCAAATGTGTTTAAATTTTCGGTTACACAGCACTTATCAAGTTTTTTCATTTTATATGCAGAACAAAATAAATTTTGCTGATTCCTATTTTAATAATTCAGTAATACACAAATTTCAGCTTTGTTTAATAATTTACCCTAGTTAATAAGTAGCAAAATTTAAAAATAGAAATTGTCTTATTTTAGTTTTTCATTAAGTTGTTTTTCTAAAACAGCTGTTATTATGAGTCATGTTTTTGGATAATGAATGACCTCATCATCCATATTTAGACTACAAAGGTCAAATGTGTATATGATTTGATCTTTATGGAAACAAATACATTTTACAAAATAAATTTTAGGCAAAGCTTGTTTTTATGACATTTTGAGGAACTGAATTTGCTTGCAATCATTTCAGTTCTGTTCAGTTAGAAATAGTTTTACCGGTAGTTTGTTTTCCATTGAGTTGTTTTTCCCCAAACAATTAGGTTATTATGAGTCATAGTCTGTTTTAAGTTGATGAGTGACCTCATCATCCTCATTTACACAAAACAGGGTCACAGGCGGGTGCAAGTATTTATAGACTATAAGTTTTGATTTTTTTGAAAACAAGCACAGTATCTACCTTGTTTAGCATAATGAGTCACATTTTGAGAGATCACTGGAACCAAAACATCACACAGGACAATGTTTGTACAACATTGTTTGTACAATCAACTGTTTTCATGACCATGCTCGTCATTAACACAGATTGTTTGAATATTTTCTATTAAGTGTGGTGTTTTTGATTTAAATTTGTATCCTTGTAAATCAAGCTCAACTTTTTATGCAAAACATAGCATGGAAATCAATAATATCAAGCCATTTAATTTTACAGTATTTAATTTTTATGATGATTTTTTTTTTTTTCGGCATCAAACATCGCTCATGGGGGACGTTTTCAGAGTGGGTGATGTTTTCAGAAGAATACGGTACATTTAAACACTAAATTTTAGGACAGAGCTTGCCTTTAGGAAATTACAAGGCAGTGAAATCCAAGAAATTACTAGTAGTTGAAACTGTCAATACATTTTCAAATGTTTTCAACATCTGTGCTGATGCTGTTTACTATCTTATTTCAAAAACCAGTCAAATGACTTATATTTTAAGTTTGGAAAATGCAAAAAAAAAATAGTTAACAGTTTAAGACCTCAACTCACAGTGGTGCAAAAAGAGTTCAGTGAAAATACCTAGATATATGTAATGAGTTTACAGTTACACAATACAATTTAGTCCATGATAGCAAAAAAGAGTGTATGATATTTAAGTCAACAAATATATGTAAATATTATGTATAATAAAATAAGTCAACAAAGTTATGACATAGTTATTCCAACACATTTTCGTTGTAAGAGTACCTCAGTTGGAATACATGTGCATATATATGTCTCACCATGATATGTATTATTTTGCATAATTTTTCTCCATTTTCTTTGTTAATTTTGACCTCAATGTACAGTATTTCTTATTGGTTACAGTTCTTGATAACAAATTTTCAGAAAATAATTCAGGTCTATGTGTATGGCAAATTTAGAGAACAAAATCCATCCATGACATGCTTGAGATCCAGCATTAGAATGATGGAAATCTTGACTTAAAATATAATGTGTTCGCCCAATGTGCCCATGATGTAGTAAATAGATAGGATACTTTATTTTGAATGGAAACAATCAACAATGAGCAAAGTCCTTAAACCAACTTTTGTTATCTATGTCATATGATGCTGAATAACACTGGGCTGAGATCACACATTTGGTAAAACTTTAACTTAATGATTTTTAGAAATAGATTTTATTATGAAATGATCAGTTTGAATTGAATAAGAACTCATCATGATGTTCTGTGTAGAAATGTACATACCAAGTTTGAAAGAAATTTATCCTTAAAAACTGAAAGTCAGTTCCAGCTATAAATTCCATTCAGTTCTCGCCCCCAGGGAAATGCCCAAATATGGTAGCTGATTTGCATATAGTGAAATAAATGCTGGTACATATATATAACATAATGTGTTATATTTAACATGTGTTATGAAGTAATATGGCAGTGAAGCCCTGATTTTAATACTCACATTTTTAGCCTTGTTTTTGACTTGCTTCCTTTTTTTAGTCTTGGCAAATGCATCGGCCATCTTCCTGAGATCTTTACCAGTCTGTGCCCATAGAGGGTGTTTATAATACTCTGACGTCGGTGACAATGCATCTGCGGTCCTGGAATGTATCATCAAAATCAGTAGTAAGTCATTGTAGATTTGTCAACTACAGTAATTATATACTGTCAAGACATATCTGATTGTAGTAACCATCAGAAATACATATTCATATATTTTCATCCTACCATATATTTATAATGTCTTTTCCTTTATGTCAATCAAATAGTTACACATGTTCAGATAGAATGACCATATTGCCAAACAGAATTCCATATTGCATTGAATTACCTTGCATATAATAAAATAATTTATGTGACAACATAATAAATTAAAATTTAAACCCAGTGAAAAATTAGTCATTTTACAGTAGTAATTTAATCTGAAAAACAAAAATTTTTTTGAACTGTGCAGGCTTTTGTGTTCAAATGATGTGGTTCTATTTCCTTCATGCATTTTAGCCCTTCTGTAGCTAATGTAAGGCCAAAAGAAAAAAAATAAACAACTTTAAAACAAGATTCATGGCAAAAACATCTTTATCAGTGATAAAAACATGAAACACGGAAAAAATTATATACCAGTATAACAATGAAAAAAAAAAAATCCCAACGTAATATCTCTAAAAGCATGTTATAGGAACAACAACATTGGCCTAAACAAAGAAATGTGTTCTAATTTGACTTATTTGACAATAACCTAATACATGTTCAATAGAATAAAGTGTGTTTACCTTTTTTCCTCATGAAAACAATGGTAAAATCCTATAATTTATAAATATGTCAAACTAATTTGATATAATCACATTTATAAAATGACATACTGTAAACTTGGAGCTATTAAGTAAAATTCACTAAATTAAAACCAAATGAACATGTAGAATAACAATAGAACTCATTGTTTCCTTGTCAAGTATGCGAACTTAACACCCAGGGAAATCACTCAAAACAACAAGACAGTGAAATTAAATGTCATTGAAAATAAATGGTTTTACAGTTACAAGTTTAGTCCACTTCATCATTCTTGTATGATTGTACGCACATCAATACCAAATGTCCATGCCATGTTTTTAATTGCCTGATTGTTGCTTGTTTCTGTGATTAATTAATTTAACATTATTAAGTGGGTCTACAGTAAATCACAACATTTTAAAATCAGATGCAATATTTCACATGATAAGTGAAACCTAGTTTAATAAAACAAAAACAAATATTACAGATGTTCCACAAATATAGATTTATGGTGGGGGTAATTCCTTGGTCTCACAGTGATTTATATGTTTCACAATACTGAAACCAAGACTTGACCTGGCCCACAGTGGCACGGTGATGTAAGCACATCAAAATGGATCATACATTTACTCCTTTGGTATTGTTACAGTACAAGAGTTTCAAGTTTCCAGGCTTGTTCCATGGTTACCACATTGCTGTATGTGTTTGTGACTAAAAGAGGGGGGTGGGGTGATTTTACAATTGGTTTTTAATAGACATGACAGTTTTTCACAAGATTAATACACATGTTAATAGTTGTACCTGCAAAAATATCTTACAAATGCATGTAAGAATACCAAAATGACATAATAATCCAACTTTTCGGTGTATGAGTGTAATACACTTTTTCAAATTTTATGAAAAGTTTGTAAACTATAAAAGTTAATATGGATACCTAGAATACAGTCTCAATTAGCCTGGAACAAAACTAAAGCTGGTATAGTAAAATATCTGCCTAAAACTGTGTATTTCTGCTGACTGGAAGTGAATCTATGTTGATTTGACCTTTCCTTTGTGCAATATTGCATACATTATGATAAAGTGGAGCGCATCTTATCAACATAGAATGTTCAATGACATAGCTCCGCCAAAGTGTGAATGACAAGTTTACTTCCTTTTTTCTGAAGTAGACCAGGATTTAAAAACAAATTTCATGGATTTAAGACAATCAAATTCAGTAGCCACTTTAGAGAGGTCACACTGACAGTCAAATACCGTGTCTCATTGAAATGTTAGGCACTATTGAACGTTGCACCCAAAAACATTTACGGTAGCAATCAATTTTATTTGTAGGTACACTTAAATGCCGAGAGCCTGACATGCGTGAGTGCCCACACTTTAACCAGTAAGCGACACATCACGAATAAACGGTTTTACTAAATAATTAGTATACCACAGCGCAGTCCCTCAACAGGTGTGACCAACGCCTGTACTGAACCTTATTGTACAGAGCTCTAGGTACAGATCTGGAAAACTTACCCTGGTGATGTCAGTGGATATGGAGTGAGGCTCGCTGGTTCTCGAAGTCCTTCACGGCGAATCTCAGACGTTAAAAAATTCTGAAACAATTCCCTGCCTTCTTCAGTGACTTCGTCGTCATCACATCGGCAATGTACGTCTAATCGAAGCCCATGACTTGAAGTTCTTTTTCGAAATGTACTTTCTTGATGTTGTTGATAATCTGCTGCATTTGCTTCAGTCATCGTTTGGTTTTGATGATCGTCGTCAGTAAACATTGGCGTACCCGTTGTGGTTTATAACTTAATTATGTCTGAGCGTATTTATGAAGACTCCTTCTTAGAATAACGATGACTTTCGGGGATTCCCTCAACACTCCATTGTTTTTTTCATATTCAAGTTTCCTTTCTGAAAAAACCGAGCTACGTCTCGGATCATGACATTTGTATCGTAGGTGATTTTGGATACACAATCTTACATTCTCTCTAATAATGTGTGTGTGAAATATATAAATATTCCATATTTCTTGAATATATCAATATAAATTCGTTCACATTTGTGTTTACTTGTTTTCTTCGCGGTCAGATTCAACTTACACGCTTAGATATAATAATTTCGGCACCCTACCAGATAATGGAATGTTCTTATTGCCCGGAAGAGGAAGCGGTCGGTGACATGAATCCTGGGAATTAAGGTGACCAGTTTGATGGCGCTCGATTGTTGTGAATAACAGTCGGACGAAATGAAGCTGGATGTTGTCGATTAATCTATGTCACTGATCTCTGAGCTGGTCGCTAAGGTGTCCGGGTGAGTTTCAAATATACGTTGAGTGAGATATGTCATTATGCATAACTATAATTCAGGTGCTTGCGATTAGGCATGGCCATTAGACACACCTGGGAGGTTTCTCCCGGGAAACACTGTTAGTGTAGTGTTGTGGCATTGCCTTTTTTGTTCCGTACACTGATTTTGTTGTCTGCGCGCAGACGAGTTGACGTTCAAATTGAGCGTTGTTACACCACTCGTGGTTTAGGAACGTTTTGTATACAAAAATGAGTCACAGGTGCATCGATTCTTGAGTGCCTGCCGAGTAAACTGAACCAAACTCGAGGTTTTATGGGAACAAAAAATCAGAAAAACTCGCTTTCCTTTTGATACAATCTGCTGGTTTATTGTATTATTGTTTTGGGTTGTTTTAGCACTTTCGTGTACTAGAAATTGAATGTCACGTTATTAAGACCTTTTCTCGTACCATCTTTTTAATGAATTTATTTATTGCTCCGTGCTTGTACCAACTCAAACAAAAAACGTTGCAGAGCTATGTTTTAGACTGAAATTTCAAGTTGTGTTGTATAATTTTGAGGGGATAAATGTAAAACCTTTTAAAATAATTGCATGCAATTTTAGCAAATTTTTACTCGATGCATAACTTAAAATCTTAATTTAGCAAACATGCCAACATTGCTTGTTCCATTTTAAAAACTGCTAAATTCAGCTATTAATGTACTATAATAATTATCTTTATTGCGTTCGTATCCCTATTAGGATTTTGACAAAAATGTAATACAGATGTAAATAAAGATAAACAAAAAATTAAAGTGAGAATAAAAATACACACAGGAAAATAAAAACTGTGAAGTATATAAAAGTAGGAAAAAAAATTAGATTGTTTTCCATATCTGTGTTGGTGAATGTTTGGATTACTAATGCATGTACATGATGATAGCTGACTATATTGTTTTCAGTTTTTCCTCTCTTGTTTTGAAACAGTTCTCTATGTATTTTGCTATTTGTATTATTGTTTTCTCATCTTTATTATTTAAAATATATTTTATTTTTTCTTTATTTTTTACTAAATGTGGGGGTGATAATAGCTGATAAAGTTTTAAAGATATCTGATAAAGATAAAGTTTTAAAGCGATTTTGAAAGACCACTTTATATACATTGAACATTTAAATCGACTTGTTTTCAGTAAACATAGATGAAAGTATCGCCTTCGCACTTAAAAAGTTAAAGTATCCATCTCTGCTTAATTAAAGGTCATGTTTACTTTCACACACCCACTCATGAATAATCAATATCAGTCAAATGCCTGCAGATGCGTCCAGTCAGGATTTCTTTAGCAGTCGGTTTAGTTTATAATAAACAACAATTATTTCTTTTTGTAAAACAAAAAAGAAGTCCCGACTTTGCCAGTCTATACATGCACCTCTATTGAAAAAAAATGAGCTTTTAATAAATTATAAATTTTTCCAATAACATAATTACATACAGCAATGCTCTTGACTATATCTCGGCAACACAAAAATGACAAGAGATAATTGGCATCTGTGTGAGATTTCAGTAATGTTCAGTACTGTATGTTTTATACACATCATGAGTTGAAATAACTTAAGGTAGAGATGCAGTTTATTTGTGAATTTCAATCAAAAAAAGTTTTTTTCGTTTTTTATATAGATTTTTATCTAAAGAACATTCTGTGAAAATTTGACCAATGAATTCTTATTGGAACACCGTTAAAATTGCTGTTTATTTTCTGGTTAAAAATAAAAAAACACTCACACGTGGCAATGTTTATGTCCAATTGCCTAATTTGCATGAGTAACCAAATAACAGGACCTTTGATTGACAATATGCAAATCGAGATTGTGCGGGTCATAGTTCATTCAATTCACGCACATGTGCAATTATTCTCAAATTAGTTCTCGCTCGCTAGCAAACCAAACATTATATTTCCTCAGCGTTTTTTCTGATTTTATCATACATTA